CTTGTAGCGCAGTGCACGGGAGATTTTTCGCCCATGATAAATTGTGGTGATCGATTCGTGGGTAAAGACTATCATCTATGGATAATATCAACTATTCGATAGAAAGGCATTAGCTCCTTGCAAAGGCCACGAAAATAGGCTAGGAATAAATAAAATAACATTTGCAAAGAGGAAAAACCAGTATTCTAGAGAGCTCTAGAATCAGTGATCCCCAATGTATTCAGAACAGTTCCCTGACGAGCAGGACGAGGCAGGATGGAACGGATTTTGCTGTGTAGGTGCCTTCAGTACAAACGCACCGTGATGGATAGCCTTTTGATAGAATCCTTTCTGAGTACTAAGTGGTGCCTCAGAAAATTTCATGAATGGATGAACGCTTCTTCAACACCAAAGGGAATAGAAAAAAGTTTTTCAAGGGTGTGTCAGTAAGTCTGATATGCATTGCATGGACGACATAGTGGATGCGGTGTAAGGCCTGCTGGCATTGCAGCCACTCGGGTGGCTTGGGGTTGGCTAGCATTGGATCCAGCCTAGGCAAGCCAAACTTGTCTTCCACCCGGGTTTAATCAACTGCTAACCAGTTTATTTGAAGCAATAAAAACACATCGGCTAGTTTCTCAGGCTCTTGTTGTATAAGCAGAATATGAATTGAAGCCGTTCCGCTACCTCACCACACAATCACGGCCTTCCCACCTACCCCGATTCCCAGCGACTAGAATCAATCGTAAGTAGAAATCGTGAGTTTGTCCTCTTGGAACAAATCGTGGGTGCGTCCTCCTGCAACAAAGTCTATCCTTCATGGGGAGTAGAAGACATCTTCCATCTAAAACATCAAGGAATAAGACGTTTAGTTCTTTTTAGGTAGTGAAAAAGCATTCAGTTCGGTGATGAGAGGGACTGGGTAGAGTGATTTCTGCTTAGCCTACGATCCGTTCCTATCGCTCCATCCCAAGCGAGTAAGACATCTGGAAACTCATTCAAAAGACATGGATGAAAGAAAGGAAAGAAAGAATGAGGTGATGAAGCCATAGTTATGGACAATCAAGTGCCTCCCAGATGTTTCCATATCCATCAGAGGAACGACTTCTGTCGAAAAACCTTTTCACTTACGGTAGCGCGGGTAGTAAGGGCTTAAAAAGCTTATGGTCCAGCTTCGTCCATTTTTTGAGCCCGTCTAAAGACAAGCCGAGGGTAGGGTATGGTTCTTGCTACGAAGCAGTCTCCCCTAGTGATCATGCTCTGCTTACTTATGCAAAAAAANAAAAAAATGTTCAAGCCTCCAACGGGTTCCATATGAAACGAAGGAAAGGAAATAAAAAGAAAAGGATAGGAAAAAAGACAAGAAGAACAGAAAAGAAAGAAGAACAGTGGATCAGCCTGAACAAGGGCGGAATGACATCAAATATGGCTTCAAATTAGCGATTTAGGAACGAACGTAGATGAAATTGCTCGATTAGGCAGGCTTTTCTATCATCAACCTGCCATTTCAAGCAAGCTGGTACCGCTTAGGACGAATTGGACAATCGGATCTTCCCTCCCTTTGACAAATGCATGTTGTCCTTTTTCATTTCCCTTTTTCCCATAAAAGATCTTCAGAATACGGAATTGAAGCAAACGCATTGACCTCGATCACATGAATGGCGAATAGAAATGCGTTACGTTCCATCATATGCTAAGTGGATCAGGGACGAAAGAAATCCCATCAAATGGCCACCGTCTGGAATGGCGGAAAGCGAATTCCCAATCGGAACAGGATCTCGCCCGCCTTTAACTGCGTAATGTTTTCGCACTTTTCATACCCAAAGAAATTCTTCACGCATTGTGGCTTTCTGATGAGCACCGTATCTGATTCACACCGTAATTGGTCTGTAATTGGATCTGGAAATGGCATAACATGTTCCAAGCGGTGTTTCGATCCACCTACCCCAATACAATACCGGGCATTCCTCTCCATAGATTTGAGGCAGCTTTGGTGGGCCCTATGGATAATGATGGTCCTGGTGGGAAATCATCATTATCCATAGACCATCATTGGGATGATGGTGGGCAAAGCTCCGCTGGCTTCCATCTAATGTGTGGACTTTTTGATTTTTGTTATAAGTATTGGGGTAGTTCAGACGTAGTGTAATAGGGGAAGGAGCACACCGCCACACGCATGACCCGGGATCGAATCCCGTCTAAACCAACTGAGCCTGCCTTCCCTTCATGGGCGGTCTATGGTATCAGACTCGTCCAGGAGATGAAAACACTGGTTTTGTACATCGGCTGGCTGGCGTAACTCACTGAATAGGCAACATGCAAATAAGATATTTGGGGCTCATCAGAAAGACGGGACTGATTGACCCCGAGAGAGCTTTTGGACTTTCCGAGTCAGCCCTACAGGTTATTATGGTCCATCACGTCATCGTAATCGTCATGAAAGCTCGATAACAGATCCATCAATCGCTGCAGTGTTTTCACCTTCACTGACTACGAGTGATTGCCACCTACCTATAAGAAATTCATCAATTCTCTTTCCAAAAATAGGGGGCGTTGGTTAAAAGTAACTTCGCTACTCCATTCGGGTCTCACATACAAAGCTAATTGCTGCTCCGATCAAGTAATTCTGCAACCAATGTAATAAAAGAAAATCGGATGAAATAGTGCCGATGACCCTGGAAGTTAAGGCAGGATCTCCCATCTGTGGCTTACTTTTGACCTTTTAAATTTACTACTTATCTTTTGTGCAGAAAGTCAATCTTGCTGTGATCGGTGGAACGCGCTGAGGTTAAAGTGAATTAAAGTGATCTCATAGTCAGAGTGGTTTGGAGGTGACCGTGACGAGTAGAATGGCCGAATCCGCATATGTCGTCCAATCTTTAGTGATCGCACTTTTGTTTTCTTAGACCGGCGTTGGCTGGATTCATCTGCTCGATGGACCATTCACCTTTCACGTTGTAGTGACCCCCTGAGAGTTCGGGAGTAACCGTCTGCATCAATTCCAGTAGCAGTGCCCACTTCGCTCATATATCTCGATTTGGTGTTCCTGGTTTTTCTCCGCTCTCCTACCTTTTTTTTTTTAATTGTAAAGCAAAATACGTAAAATATGCCTTTACACCACTTCAATCTTGTTTCGACGTTCCCGATTCAGACTCTGCACTCGAATAAGAACGAGAGAACAAAAAAAAGGATTGGAGGTGCTCCCAGGATGCCGCTAAGAACTATACCGGATGTCTTCCCATCTTCCTTCTTTTGCAATTTTTGATAATCTCAAAGATAAAGGGTAGGTTTCTGGCTGCTATTCAATCTCATCTGAAGAATGAGACTGAATAGCAGCCACATTTCCCCCCCCCCCCCCCNCCCCCCCCCCCTCCCTCCCACCCCATTCCACCTCCATTTAGGATTGTATCGGGGTTATGGATGCGCCCAAGGTCCATACAAGGAGATGCACTGTCAGCCGATGTACAAACCTATGTTTTTAGCCTCTCAGTTACGTCTGGTCCTAGATAGGCGACTAGCCGAAGGTATGGAAGATTTGGTTAGTCTTCGTGGATACCAATCCAGGATTCGATCCCCGGATCCTCCGTGTGATAATCTCGACCTCACTTTCGCTCTACAGCTGGTAACATAACCCAATAAGAACTTTTGGTACAGTCCCTGGATGTACTACTACCGTATCTACTGAATGTAGGCATTGCAATATTTATTACGTACAGAATGAACAACGAGTATACAAGCGCTAAATGAGCACTTGAGAATTTCGATAATGCTTTCAGTTCATCTGGACGTGTTGTTAGAAAGCCCACACAAATACACATTTATGAGGAGTAGTTAATGGTTAGGCTTGTTTTTACTGTTCGGTACTGAGTATACTTCACTTTTTGGGAGCTGGTTCTGCTGGCCGTTGTTGGAAGTTTACATTCATGCGACAAGTCTTCAAACCGGCAAGATCATCCTCCTTAACAAAAATTTTAGAAGATGGCAATTGTTCACTTACCTAGCATTCTGCTTTAAAAATTAATTTTTTTGAGGTTCAACTTTGAATGATCTAATTCCCAGTAAGTAAAAGTACGCTCTACGTTGGCAAAGAATGGCTTGATTAACTGGTTGGGGCTGACCACATCGTCCTGGGACGCACCCAGCACTCAACAACCAATCGAAGATGTAGGCATTGATGGATTGGGCTTGTACTGGCTAGTTCATTAGAACAATAACAGAAAGTGAGGATCACCTTGACGCTGCTGAACTTATCCCGTTCAAACGTAGCCGGTCGATTTCAAGATCGAGGTGGGCGAGTGGAAGAGGAAGGAAATGAAGATGTAAAGAGTATATGTTAGCTCGGTCTGTATCCGGCAAAACTATTGCCCTCCATTTTCTTGAAAAACCACAAAAACCTTAGATATCTATGATCTATGAACGCTGTCCATCTTGACAAAACCTCCTCCTGATTTTAAGCGCCAAAAGGCAAACGAGCTGGCTGGTGGACTTCGACTTTCAAGCAGTGATCGTGAAAGTAGAGGATTCTCAAGTAAAACCTTATTTGTTTCTTACTCAGAGAAGTGTTTCTTATACAGGGTATCGAGCAGCTGCCAGCTGTGGAGCAATTTCACACTTTCTGGAATAGGACAGAAACGGAGGAAGGCAAGCGATGAGACGGTTGTGAATGAGACTTTCTCGAGCCTTCACCTCTGAGCCTGTGAGAAATTTTCTGTGGGGTCAGGAAATGTCGTCGGAACTGCTAGAATGGTTTAATCGCTCTGGGGAACAGTGTACAGGTTCTGAATTCGATAGCGGCTCAATCGGGATCTGGAACGGGAGCGCCTATTCGTCCTGGCTTCTTAGGAGATGACTGACTAGAGTTGGATTCGATGTTTTCGTGATTAGAAGAGAAAACTGCGACTGACAGCTCGGAAGCGAGTGAAAAAGAGGAAAAAAGGTGGCTAATCGCATGGCCGGAGGAAAGAAAAAGGATAAGGATTATTGGCTCGGAATTCAGAACTTTGAGCGCGGAGCCCTACACTTTCGGATCCCTTTCCATCTATAAAAGTTAGTGTTTAAATAATTTTACTTACTACTTTTTTCTGACCAGCAGCTGGAGCAGCAGCTGGAGCAGCACCTGGAGCAGGAGCACTCTTAGCAGGACCAGCAGATGGAGTGGTACCACTCTTGGCAGGAGCTTGTGATGGAGAAGGTTGGGTAGCAGGAGATTGTTTTGCTGGAGATGGCTGAGATGCTTTCGACGGTGGCTGAGATGCTTTCGATGGTGGCTGAGCTCCTTTCGATGGAGCACTCTTCGCTGCTGGCTGAGCACCTGCCGGCGGTGGCTGAGAACTCTTCGATGCTGGCTGAGTACCTGTCGATGGTGGCTTAGAAGCACCTTTCTGTTGTTCAGCTGGAAAGTACGATGATCAAATGGTCTGGTAATTATTACGATAGTACCATCAAAAAGAACGAGTCGCTGACGTTGTGGTATCAAGGTGGCATCTGTCTCGTCTCCTTCTTCTTCGTCAGCACTGGATGATTCTGGTGCTTTCGGGTCACGATACATCACCATGACCAATTTCTTCTGTAATGCGCATGGATCTTGTATTCAAATTAATTTTGATATCATTTTTTGACGTCTCTCTTAAAACGTAGTGGCTGGGCTGTCATAAAAGGAGGAACCGGGAGTATTCTGGCTTTCATATGTCCATTTATGGAAAGAGCCACCCACTCGACTTCCATTAAGACTTCAATAGCGTTATGAATGCGTATGTGCCCTATACAATGAGTTGATGTTCAAGTCAGTGTTTTACCCTCAAGCCCTGTCTTGTACCAATTAGCTCACTCCCCAAAGATGGAGGCTAGTAGTAACGGTCTGGGTTTTGATCCCATTTGACTGTTCATCATTACACTCATAATAAAAAGTCTATATACTCGATAAATTTGCACTGAAGTGTTCTCACTCAGCTCTTTGTTTTTACGGAAATAAAATGGTGTTCATAAAAAGCAGACCGAAGGACGCATGGGACTACAAATGGATGCGCATCTGTCCGCGCGTCCGTCGCATGCGACGTGTCAACCCGGACAAACGTCGCAGTTGTCAGGGGCATACGAATTGCGCTCGGTCCACGGCAATCAGCTTTAAGTGAAGATAACACGCACAATGCAATTCATTCGCTCCCTTGGCGCTTACCATTAGTTGAACTGTACTGTCATCTCGAGGCCGCAGTGGCCTATAGCAGTGGAGCATATGGCACATATGAAACTTCCCCGCACTTCTCAACATGTAGCTCCCTTTTTTTGGCTACCGCTCACGTTATTTTCAATGCGCAGTCCACTGGCGCCTCCTACTGTGCGAACAGTAGACGCCATGAATGAAACAAACGACGCTTAGTGGGTGAAATCGGTAATTTCTGACAAAATCATTTTCACTCCTTTTCTGGCATTCAGAAGGCCATTTAGCGGAAATGGACCATAGTTCTATACTCAGCGCTCATGCCCCTACCCCAAGCAAAATCATTTCAAAAAGCGTCCCACGCTCTGAAAGACCTTCCTTGTAAGAGACTCTTTGACGCCTTCTTTATTGCCGATTTTAGGCCCTTATTATGCTCTATCGGGAGGCGGGCGGTACGACGGGTGCTGTGTAATCGATCCACTGCGCGCGCGGCAGTCGCGGGCCATTTGCCTCGTTATTACAATTCTAGCGTTCTTCATACAGCTTAATCGACATGCCATTATTGTTTTCCACATGATTTTACCTTTATTTCTTTTGTTCCTGTACTCCTTACTTGCTGCTGCACTGTGCTACATTCCTTCGCGCGCGACATCTCTCTAGCCGCGACGCAACAATTTCGTTCCTACTGCACCACACCCTGCTTCTCACCCCACTTTTTCACGCACAACACCTCATGTGGCCATGTGACCATTGTTCGCTATCAAAATTCAATCCAGTAAGAAAATGAATAATAGTCCTATCGCGTGTCTTTGAAAGGACTATTTATGGTCTACCCATTGATCTACCGGATCGATTGGTACCACTGTAGTGAACGATGTGCTTTTTCGACCAAAAGTTTGTTATTTCCACGTACTTTTCAAAAGGTTCTTTGGCCTATCTTACGCTGAAGGTTTCCTTATAGAATAGACTAAGGATCGTTGTTGTACTAGTCTTAAGTACACGATTGGTCAGTTCACTTACCTGAGGAGCTTGAACCACTTCCTTCTGTATCACAATCTTTTCCTTCACCCTTTCGATAATTTCCTGAATTTAAAATGTTTGATGAGAATACCATAGTAGAAAATCATGATCATATTTCAGACGGCTCAGCAATTGAGCCCCTACATGAAGTTGCCGTACGTTGGAAGCCTTTTTCTGATAATTTTTCTTCTTGAAAAAGCCTTACTTCTGCTGATTTTTTTTTGTTTTTTCGGGTCTTTTTTATTGCAAGGGGTTCTTGTCGACTCGTTTCTAAGTTTGTTTTCTTGGGGAACTTGGCCTACATCAGGTAGAACCCACAACAAATCAGGTAGACGGAAGAGCTTTGGCCACCTCTTAGAAGAATGCTAAGGGATAAACAAGGAAAGTAAGAAACCAGAGGACAACATGTCCCTTATCACTGGATCCGTAAACATTGGACTAAATAAAAGTAACTGAAGTAAAAGTATCGTTACCTTTTCTCCTCCCTTTCCATCTTTATCTTTCTTCATCTCTTCTGCCTTCCTCTCGGCCTCCTTCGCTTCCTCCTCTTCCTCCTCTTTATCATTAATACCAAAGAACAGTATTCTGAATTTTCTTTTTCCTACCTCGCCTTCGAGAAGCTTCTGGAAAACGTCCTTTTCACTTGAGAAACACTGAGAAACAGACTACGAAACATCCAAGCTTGATCTCAACCCGCCCTCCTTGCCTCGGCCTATGCCGTCAAGAATAAACACTACAAAGATNAATACCAAAGAACAGTATTCTGAATTTTCTTTTTCCTACCTCGCCTTCGAGAAGCTTCTGAAAAACGTCCTTTTCACTTGAGAAACACTGAGAAACAGACTAAGAAACATCCAAGCTTGATCTCAACCCGCCCTCCTTGCCTCGGCCTATGCCATCAAGAATAAACACTACAAAGATAGGATGGTCTCGGAGTTAGCGTCATTCAACGCGCTTCAGAAAGGAAGATGCCCGAAATTTCCCCATACACGCAAGTGCAGTGGGGAAGTCGGAGTTCTGCTTCCGTCAACGAACGAAGATCAGGGCGCTGTTACTAATTGTAAGCCAAGAAACCGAAGACCAAATGGACCGGCCAAATCATGCGATTTCGTGTTGTCTGTCCGTCGGACCCGGGCGGTTAGATGACTCAATCCTCCGGAAGGTCAAACTTACACCTAAATGGCGGTCTATTTTGGAGAAAAACTTTAAGAGCCAATGGCACAGTTCTCTGTGGAACTACAGTGGGATTTCATGGAGTTTTTGGTTCAAGCTTGACACAGCCCACAAGTGGTAGGTTACATTTTCTGTGAATCCATTACTACTTGAAAAAGCAGTCTGTTGAAATTTAGAATCATATTTCGGTATTCGCTACTTAATCCCGGGCCATGCTTGGTAATGACGCTACATCACCTACAATGTTCAAACACTCTGATATATTGAAGTTGGATGAAAGTTCCAATAGCTTTCAGCCTTCCTGCCACGCGTTGTATGGGTGCTATTGCAAACGAGTATACCTACTTCTTGGTATTTGTGTGACTTCCAAATCTTTTCGGTATCCACACATGAAGACGGAGCTATAGCAGCTACAACAGTAAGTCTGAAATTTGAATAAATGTAATACATTCATTGGGCGGAAGTGGTGTAGTGGCAAGTGGCATATTTCACACACGCGTGGTCCCGGGTTCCAATCCCGTATCGATATCCGCCTACGCCGACCAAGCCTTTCATCGCTCCGTTGTTGTTTAATTGGTACCAGAGTCGTCTGGGAGGATAAAAGCACTGACTTGTACATCGGCTGGCCACCGCAAGTCATTGTATAGGCCACATACGCATTCAGTACGCCACTGCGATTTTGAATGGAGCCTCAGAAGGGATCGACTAACGCCCCAAGACTTTATCCTTTAATACACTTATTATGCAGCTTTCTGTAGGACTCGTTGACCCTACCCCACTAACGGTAACTTCACTACAACGACCCACCCTCTTATACTCTGAAATGGGAGGCAGTATTTGGGCTTGAATTTCCACAGTAAAGTCAGTGTTTTCGAGATAATCACCGCAATTTCCCACTGAAAACTCAAACTTTCCCGTTCACACGCTCGACTGTCCGCGATTGGGTACGTTGAGCGCGGCGCTCCGTTCAGGAGCAAAATGCGATGATCACAGTTGCGGCTGATCACCAAGCAATAAAACAAAGCAATAAATCAAACCAAGTCATATCTGTTGAAGCTAACAGTCCCATAGTTCAGTGCTGATATCGGCTGATCGACTCATCACGTAAAAGCACCGACGAGCAGACTCTATATCCGAACTTCCAGGACGGCACGGGGCAGTCGTTAGCCGGCAGTTACCGTAGTCACCCACCCTCAAGGGATCAGAATCTTACCCTTCACTATGTCCAGGACGGCACAGCATTCGTTTGGTTGCACTTAACGTACTGACCCTCCGGAAATCCGAATGTTACCCTTCACTGTCCACGACTGCGAGCGCAAGTCCGGTACAACGTCACACCCCCTCCTCCTCCTCTTCTCTTTCCCTCCACCCTCCCCACTCCCCCTCCCCCCTGAGTGCGCGTCTGCTTTTAGTAATGTAAAAGGCAAGAGCAAGGAAGGTGCACAAAACATAGGTTCGGGACACTTTTGGGACAATGGCTCAGCGCCCTTCTTTTGATGGTTTCATCTTTGTGATGACATCTTCGCACCAGAAGACAAGTGATTCGGTCCAGGTGACTCCCGAGACAGCAGAAAAGGCCCAGGTGCAGTAAGAGAATTTTAACTGATGCTATCGGGTAATCAGGCCGTCATGAACTTTTCTGTGAGTAAGGTTGGTAGGTTCATCATACCAACTAAAAAGCAATGACTCCAGAAAGTTTAAACTGCCAGGGAAGAGTTATTTTGTATAGGTCGTACTAGAGGCTCTCACTGATGACTTAATCCGTTCACCTTTCTTTTCTTGGAGCTTCTTGTCCAGGCTTCAATCCGTTGAAAATAAGGCGAACTGTTTGCTGAAAACATGAGGATAGGTAGCTGTATCAACAGCATTATTCGAGGGTTTATGTGAGGAAATGCTTTAGTTGTGCCTAGATAGGGCTTCACGCATAATGAATGGGAAAATTTCGTGGCCTGTTGCTGGTTGCTTTGTTTCCCTGGTGTAGCCTGCTTCATTCACCCCGGAACACTGTGGGGAGGGTCGCCCGAAGAGCCTTTCATCCCTAAAAGCTCTCGAAACACTTTTTTCATCGAATAAAGCCGACTTCCTTCCTTTAGACAATTACCAGCCATTCCCTGGACAGCCGCTACTTCGGGGAAGCTTCCGGAGTTTGTCACGCTCTTGAAGAAGGGTGGGAAGGGAAAAGATCATTCTGCTTATAATCACTCGACACTTTTCTTATTATACTTAGCTTGCAATCATTCGTATCAGACGAATCACCCGATCACTCAATCATTCATCAGATATTGATTGAGCCCTATGAAACGTGTAACACTAGTATCTCCTCCTAGCGCTGCCTATCGACGCGGCGAGTAGCAGAAACGCGGAATGGGCGCGGATGGGCCGAGTCTACCAATCGATAGATATTGATATTGCAGCAAACTGTCCGTTTCCACGTTACTCTAACTCTAAGGCTTCGGAGCGGACTGAGAATAGAACCGATAAGAAGTTCAATGCATATCCGATCCCACTCGCCGTCCCTCCGAGTCTTTCCTGGGCAGCAAGCCGGGACCACAACTTCACGGATTTCAGGAAACAGCGGGTAAGGGGTTAGCGGATACTTCATAGCTGTTTTTAGATTGTCGAATGGTACCATTTGTTTCCTTACCGAGTATAAGCACTCTTCTGGACAAAGTGACCCTCCCGGAGAATAAGAAGAACGGAGGAAGACTTACCTTACCATTGGGAGGTATTACTCCGTAAACTGGTCGCATCTTAAACATGCCTGGTCTTGTACTTTTCATTTTAAACATAACATTTTTATCTGACTCGTTAGTGATTGCCATTTCAGCCATCTGTTTTGACGTATTTGGCATGAACGTCACCTAAACACTTTCGTCTATATGCGCTGGATGAGGAATCAACCATAGCTTATCGCAAAGAACTCACACTTTTTGATGGCACAAAGGATAGCTTGTCAGCAGCTGTAGTGGACGGTTCTGCTGTAGCTGCAGCCGCCATTGAAGTTATGAAGACTAGTAAATGAACCTTACCGCATTAGTTTAATAAGCGTATGGATATCAGATCATGGGTGGAGGGTGGTGTAGTGGCAAGTGGCGCACTACCTGACGCGCATGTCGAGGGGATCGAACATCGAGTCGATATTTGTTCAGGCCAACAAAACCTTCCGTCCATTCCGCGTCGGTTGACTAGTATCGGTCTCGTCCGGGAGATAAAAGCACTGACGTAGGAGTTGACTGGCCACCCAATTCATTGCATAGGCCACATGACGTAAGACCTTCAAGAGGCCACTATGATCCTGAATGTAAGTTGAATGCAGGGCGTATTCAAAAAGGCATCGATCAACGTTGAAGGATTTATCCCCCATGACCACAACTATAAGCTCACACCAAACAGTTCCTGGGGTTGGGGGACTGCAACGTCTCATACTTAGTTTGAACATCAGTGCCTGTATTCCGAGGTTTGTTAACTAAGATCCTGAGACGTCAAGGTCCAAGAAGAAAACACTGGTAAGCAGGGTCACCTTTTCAGCGTTTCTCAGTCCCTTAGAGCTATACGCGATGCTTCGACTCCGTTTCGGTTTATGTGTGAACCAATACGAAGTTTGATGACATCAACAGCTGTGACGAAAACTGCATAGTAACCATTTGAGCTTACCGTTCGGCGATCTCCTTCTCGTCGAATCTCTTCACCTTAGTGAAAGATGAATACAGCCCTATTTACAAATCCCGTTTTGAATTTCAGAATAATTCCGATGACCCGAGAATATGTAGCAAACCGCTGAGGTTCCCCAAACGATCCAAATGTAGTATAATATTTTCTTCTGGTGGTTACTGCTGATCTGATTGGCAGATAGACGATGACATCAGATAAGGGAAGTGATGAAACTGATAGATAAGCTCGCGAAGGTCGTAAAATGAAATGAGTTTATGTTTCATTTCCAATCCCTCACTTATGCAATTATAGAGCTTTGTGAGCTTCTCGAAAAAGCTTCGGGGGTTTTCCGTGCCGTTCCTTCCCTTGTTGTTCATCAAAACTCCTACTTGGTCTGACAGTTAGCACATTTACGGCAGTAGGTCTCAACCTATCACTCATGAAAGCCTCAAAGCCTGATTTTATCAACACCCGGGTCCTTGTTGGAAAACAGCGGCTAACCGGTTTTATCCCTGAGCTCACCACCAGCCGCCCTCCTCNTCCCCCCCCCCCCCCCCCCCCCCCCCCCCCCCCCCCCCCTTCCCCACCCGCCCCCATTATCCATCAGATTAGGGATAGCGCTTGATGCCATAACTCGCTGAGATAGAGGACACAGGGGGAGGGTAACGCTTGCACAATCATTCCATCTGTTGCCAAGCAACGCTGCATAAAATTGAAGGGGGCATATCTCAAAAACCCTTACGATAGTGCCAGGTCACCTGCTTAAAGCCTTCCTCATTACCTAAATTATTGCGCCACCCATGAAAGTGCACAGAATCTACTTCCTCAAGCTCTCGGTTAAGGAATCTTGTGGTCTACTAGGTGGTCCAGAGAAAGACTGATCCCACGAGGAATAACTGGGATGGTTGGGACTGATAATGACTCTTGTGGATCCTCCTTCTCCTGGCTTTCTGACGACATTGAAATGCATGTGAACGGCTAAACAAATAACCAAATGAACTCGTGAAAGTTCTTAGCAGGGAAGGAAGAGGGGTAATAGCTCACCTATGAAGCAGAGTCATCCTGATGGGATGAATGATGTGACTAGCCCGTGAATGAGTTCCATTCTGTGAAGTGACTGAACCTTCAAGGAGTAAACGATCAATTTTAGTCGATATAGTGTATAGAGTACCGATCCAGGATTCGAACCGCGGACAACGCGTTCTACAAAAGATTTTCCATAGATAGTGCTACTTTTGAGGACTCCCCAGCTTCCACTACCCTCAGGAAGGTTTTTCGTGAACACCTGTCCATTACATCAATTTCTAGACCCATCCTCGCAAGTTGCTCCCCGGCACCTAGAGCTTAAAGGCTTATTGTTAGTTCACGATCGTCTGACGTGACATCGGTCGAAGGGCGGGGCATCCGGGCGATCCGGTAACGGGGTTCCCACTATGCCCTGACTGATGAATCTTTGGACATGACAGCGTCCTTCCTGTTACTCTTGGGCGCCACTGGGTATTCTCAGAGGGAGAACTCAGCAACCATTCATACCATGAACTGTGCCTTTAACGTCAATGTTATAGTTTTTTTACTTTAGCAGCTTAATGGAAATTTTTTTTCTCCGATTTTGCTTCCCTTTTCTCACGCCCTTCAGTGAAGATTCTGCTTATGCAAGATTGTTCATACTCTCTCGTTCTCTCTCGTGAGCTGAATACATTCTGAACGATCGACATCTCTTATGAACAGTAACGTAGCCTCCATTTCAAAGATTCTATTCTTCTCCCAGCTAGTTCTTTCAATACCATCAGAGGGAGAACTCAGAAACGAGCGACATCTCTTATGAACAGCAACGTAGCCTCCATTTCAAAGATTCCATTCTTCTCCCAGCTTTTTCTTTCATCACCATCAGAAGGCTTTTTCTTCCCTTGATTCGCGGGTGCTGATCGCCTTCCCTCTTTTACAGCTTCCCATCACCTTAATACAGTAGCGATGAGAAGATCAATCGAATGATTGAAAAATTAGGAATCGCGACCAATTCCAAGTGCTCCTGGTACCCACAACTTGATACCCGAGAGATAAAAACGCGAATATGAATGGGAACTCGGCTCTCATACTAATCCGGCACGCGGCGATTGCCGAATATCCCACTAGGAATACAAATTTTCCCCTATTGGCGCTCCAATTCGCCGATCGGGGTGGCGGCACAGCAAGCCTGCGCGGAACAGAATATCTTATCCCACTCACACACTTCGTCTCTTTGCCCTAGGCCTTTTTGGTTCATATCTGCATGTGAGAGGATTAGGGTGTTCAACAAGGTTATATCGTAGAATGAACTGTGATGTCCGTGGACTTCTGCGTCCTTTGCATCTTATTTCGTCGTGAGATCACTGTATGAAGCGAGTTCCCGAAGAGGTAAAGGCAGCTATAGATTGCTCCCGATATCCTTGGCGCTGATGCAATTACTCTTTGCTTCGCTTTCCTCCTTCGTATGATCTATAGGAGTGCCTTCTGCCAGTTCATTATCGCCTAGATGGCAGCCTGTGAATAAGGATCCTGATGAGATTTAGGCAGACTTATGTTAGCCAGTGGGGGCCACTCCACCTGCTCCGCGTCTTCCACGCTAGTTACTAGACCCACTGAAGGATAAGGTGCCGGCTTTGCAGGTGTGTATTAGTAAGGAACGATTCTAAGCTATGAGAATGGAGTTCTTGGCCTAAGTTCAAGCAGGATAATTCGGCACTGATGGAGTGTGGACATAGACGCGAAGAAGCCCACTACAGGTTCATGTGACTGCACTTGCATGACAACAGATTTGAACCTCGAGAGGGAAACCAGCTTAAGTCCATTTGGCTGGACCAATCATAACCCCCATGCCTTTCGGTAGAAAAGCTACATAGAAACAGTGGCTATGGTGCAAAGCTTGGCGTACTTATTAGCACTGACAATGGAGGAATAAGTCATTGGACTAGGGTAGCAAAGAATAAATTCATTATCGCAAAGGCTGATTTGGGTCGCCACATGATCGCCCCATAATTAGTCATCCACCGCCCCTTATTGTTTCCCATAAGAAACGCCGCACTACCCTTATCCCCATTATATATAAACCACAAAAACTGTTTATCTGTCTGTTTGACTGTTTGTCCGTTTGCAGCCATTTTGTATGCAAAATCCTCGATTTGGTTCGCTCTCCGCCGTAACATCTCTGACACGTGGCCACAAAAAAATGATCGTTCGAAAGTTCGCGTATACCGAAATCTCGCTGGACGCATTTATACTACCTGAGTCCCTCCGTCAGCGTCCGCGTCGCCCATAGATCGATGACGGGGTACAGTACGTTCAAGCGAGAGGCACCTAGACGACAAGACAGAGTGATACAGACAAATACAACTGTTTGTCTTGTTTTTCTTTCTCCAGGGAAGTGTTCTATACTTTTTGTTAGTTTACCTGGTTACTTTCGCCAGGGAAGTGTTCTCCTTTTTTTGTTAGGTTACCTTGTTAGAAAAAAAGTGAAGCGATTGCGAATTGATATTTTACAACCAAGTCTTCCCCTTTGACCCGGTCGCCGTGTCGGCTTGAAATATCAGTCATCAGTTTGCGAAGTTCGCCGATATTTCCGTCAGCTCAATGAACAGTGAATTTGTCCATCCTGCGAAGTCGTGGTTCCGCCAAGGTCATTTGCATAGGTCAGGGTGAAGGCCTTATCTGTGTATTCGCGAAGCTGGGGAAACGTCTCGGATCTCGTCCCGTTCTCTGTCCTTCCCATGTCGTCGTTCATCGTGACTGGTACAAAGAGCAGCAAAATTGTCGAAATGGTATCTCTGGAAGGTGGAGTCTCACTCGTCCATTTCATTCCGTACGAACATACATTCATTTGCACATAGTCAGTGATTCACCCAATAAGGAGCTCTTCTATCTCCCAGATGTCGACAAAAATGGTTGTTCCCTCTCTCACCGTCAGAACTACGAATTCGCTCAATTCTGAACTGCCTCAGACTGCGTCTCGTCCACTGCAGGGCTTTAGAAAAAGCTGGATTAACAAGCAACGTATGGAGGGCTTCACCTTGGCGAGCGATTCCCGCTAACATCATGGCCCACCCCGCAACCCCCCAGCCAGGACCCTGTGCGTCCTGCCCGTTGGCACTCAAAAAAATCAATAATTTGTGCAACCTCGCTTGTCTGTTGGCACCGCGCTCGGCGGTGATAATCGTGCATTGCCCCAGTTTCTGGTTGTCTGGTGTCTGGCCACTTACCAGAGACGCATAGGTCTCGATATCCTTCCCGAGACGTGCGCGTCGTTTTATGTGTGAGCTCCTCGGTCGGGTGCCTTTGCCATTTCATCCCTTTCCTTCTTTCATATTCCTCTTTTCATGTCAATTTACCGGCAGTATTGACTTTCGGGAATACTCCAACCATTCTGGTCGAAGCAATGATGTCACAATTCACCTGAAGTGCCGTTGTTTTTTTGAGATGTTTTTTCTACGTCATCGTGATGTTTTTCAGATTTTAGCTATTATTAATTATAGTACGTGTTTAGGATTCAGAATGACAGAAAAAGTTGACGACGCTGACTCCAAAACAGAAGAAAAGGACTCGGAACAGGTAGGCATATCATTTCCTTCCAAGTTCCTCTGAGCTCATTGCTTGAAGGTCAACGAGCTCAATGAATATGAATACTGAGTACGCTATAAATTTCATTTTGATGCACTTTTCAGTGTGAGGAGGTAGTGGAAGAAGGTGACGGTGCACACTTTGTGAGTCACGGAGGAGATCCTCGATCACTTGATTTGAACAGGTGTGTTTAAGTCCTTTTGATATGATCTTGATTTTTTGAAGTAATGATAGTAGTATAGTAGTAGGGCAGAGGTGGTGTAGTGGCAGGGGCGCACTACATCACATGCACAGTCGCGGGTTCGAATCCCGGACCGATAATAGCCTGGGCCAACCAAGCCCTCTATCCCTCCAGGGTTGGTTAATTGGTACCAGTCTCGTCTGGCAGAGTAAAAGTACTGACTTCTTCATTGGCTGACCAGCGCAAGTCATTGCATAGGCCACTTACACATTCAGTGCGCCATTACAATTCTGCACGGAAGTCGAATGCGTGGGCGAATCCTCAGACGGGATTGATTAACGCCCCAAGTTGTTATCAAGACTTCAGACCTTAATGACAGTAGTAGTATCACGTGGCAATTCATTAAAAGTTCACACAAAGTATTTCCAGATGCCTACTCCTTTCCAACCTGCCTTCTGTGTTCCTAAACGATCCATTTGATGAGTTCAGCAATACTATGCTTGACTGGATTGCCCAGGATTTCAAGGTTGCTCGTGACGCCATGGAAAAAGTAGGTCTAGTTTCTATTTGCCTGACAGTTCACTCGTCGGAGGATGACATCTCTATTGTGGTAAAAAATATTGTGAATCCTTAGTCATATAGTTTCTTCAGATTGTCCGCATACCGAAGCTGCAGGCAGATGCTGAGAATCAGGTACGTTCCTATGTGCTACATAAACAGAATCTGGTGTTTGTCACTACGCTTCCTTCAGCATATTGGTGGTAGGAGGTTCTCACAAACTGCATTTATAGTTAGCGACGTGCGGTTTGCAACGTCGCGTCGCATCAGACAGAGTGCGATAGTCGATCGTGTTTGGGTTGCGGTTGGTCGGGATTGAACGTGCCAAATATGCCCTAGCTTGTCTACTCAGCTCAGTTCTTTCTTTCAAAGACTGCCATGGCTGCCGTTAATGAATTGCTTAAGCAGAGATCGATTATCATGTATATGATTTCCGGGGATGCTACGAGAATGCGGAGCAGGCAGAAGGGCGGATCTGTTTTTGAGTGCCCCTCCGAGATTGCGCCTGATAAAGTGTCAAAGCTGTTTTTGTGACATGGCACAGATGAGAACTAAAGTGCTATTTATTTGCCATCTTCTTCATCCCGATGCCCAAAAGATCGCACAACTACACAGTAAGCATATAACGTGCAGTAGTATTGTCCCAGGTCCCGTTGGTTTTCGGATGGTACGAGCGGGCGTTGGTGATGGGTTCATTCGCCCCTTTAGCGAGCTAACATGGTCAAATGGATTCTCTTCGTTTGAAGTATACGAAGCATTCCGTTCGTTCAGTAAAGAAGACTGACCATCATGGCGGTCGGCCTGTTGTTCGTTTGACGTCTCGAGAAATCTAGTTTGTAACCGTCGTAGTGCAGCAGTCAAAGAGCATTTATGTGACAACGGTAACCATACGAGAAACGAAAGAGCGGAAGCCTGACAGACAAGCGTAGGCTTTGGTCAAGCTCAATCCAGACTTCACGCAGAACACGGTAACATCTACGGTAGCATACATGGTTCACACAACGAAAATTTCCGAATTCTTCCGTTTGTTCGGTGAACTGCTCTCTGACAGCAACATTTGGCTGAAGAAAGTGAAGTGAAGACCTGAATCACTATTCATGAGACACAAAAAACAACACTTTGTTCCACTCAAGAGTGTGAAGCCTAGAACGTTGAGCGTATTTTTGAAGGGATTTCCTCTTACGCATGTAAACGAGCTATATGTCTGTGTACCTTTGCATGGAAAATCTGCTGTTGTAACAGTTGTTTACTCTTGGTCTTGAGTTGACGAAAAGGGCCCATTTTATCGATTCCGCATTCGATTTCCCCGGGAATCGAAAATTCGGGAGGGAGGGGAGTGCTGGTAACGATGTTGAAGTAAAATGAGCACAAAAATATTTTCTACTGAAGTTTTACTTCGACGAACTTGAAGGAGAAAAGTTTTGGAAAGACGTCAGTGGCATGGCGTAGTCTACCTAGAAGCTTGAATGCCATGAGTAGAGCTGATTCCATCACATTTGTTTCGTCAAACACTGTGGAAAATGTAGTTAGTGATACCTTAAAGCTTTTTAGAGTTTGAAGAATAGAGAGCAACGAAACCGATGGGCCGTATGGCAAGTAATAATTCAGTAAAGGGTGTACTGTAGGCAGAAGAGAAATTGGAAATTTATTAGTGACAATTAACACAAACTGCACTGCATAACCTTCATTGAGAAGTGGTGAAGGCGTCTACTCGAAGGATCATCGTTGATTTTCATCTGGTATGACCGCCTCCTCTATAAAATAACTCCATTTGTTTTCATAAAAGTTATGAAAGACAGTTTGAAGAAAGGAATTAGCGGTGGCTACAAAGATTGAGGGTGGGCTGAGTGATCCTTGGCGTGCCACGCTGCGATCGCATGTGTGAAGGGGAAGATCTGAAGATCTCCAATGGGGGCACACTGTAGTTGCCGCGATTCCGCTGTCACCTACATTGGAATTTTTGTAGAAATATCGTCACCCACAAAGACTCCATCGGCTGACACTGTGTCTCACGATTTGATTTAGCCATTATCCTTTTTGAGTAACTGATAAAAGGCTATCGATCTTGATCTTTGAGATTACTTGGCACCTACTCACCCTAAGGGTCTGCAGTTACAGAGTTTCTTTGAAATTTCCCGTCATGAGAAAGTTCACCATCAAGGTCCTCCCGCCTCTACCCACATAACGAGCAGGAGACCTTTTTCGCCCTCCTTAGAGACGATGGTTAACAAGAAATGAAAGCAGGGTGTTTCTTTTTTTCGAGAGAAATGAAGAACGGAAATGAACCGTAGCACTTATTTGTTCCGTTAGTTAGCATGGGTAACAGAGCCGTCAGAATGTATCTTTGGTTTGCCGGACCGGCTCTAATTGCAACATTTTCCATTGAGGCGTTAGTTGTACTTATCCCTCGACTTGAATTTACGTCTATTTCTTGCCAAAAAAAGCATGGAGCAGGAGCCGGAGCATGCATCAAAAAAGGCCTTTCTCAAGTCGAAACTCCACAGGTGCTCATGCCTAATATAGCACCTAGGTGGAAATAGAGGCTGCGAGCATCTGGTTCGTTATTGAGATGAAAAAATCACTTCTGCCGAGGGCGAGACTTGCTCGAATCTTCGACTTCATAACTCAGTTTAGGGCAAGATTCCGCAAAAAGGCTGAAAGACATTAGCCATGTGTAAAAAGAACTGGAAATACTTGAAAGTTTGGTTAGCAGCGCGTGCCTTTAGAGGATTACTCCTTTATACAAAATCGCACACTTCGGTTCCAGAATCTAGACGACCGAGTAAAAACGGATAACTTCCACCTTCGGTCCTCTTGAAACCGGCAGAGCACATAAACATGTAAAAATGGGCGAATCCTTTCGCAGTGAATCAATCTTCTTTTCGGAGAAGGTCCGCGTTCAACTACGAGTCGTGGTGGTGTTTTTGAATGGCATGTGGCCTATACAATGACTTGTGGTGGCCAGTCGATATAAAGCCTATCATCCTAGACGAGTCCGACGCGTATGAGCTGACCCACAGGGATGGGGGCTTGGATAATCCAATTATTTATCGATCCGTGTTTGACGATGCGCCGCTTGCCACTTCATCACTTTAGTCCAGGATGTTGGACAAACGTTAAATAATCGTGGTTAAAGTCGCACCTCGGAAGAGCTCGGATTGGTTGACAGGCACGGTATAAGTTTACGCGCCCGACGTCTCATAAATTCTAATATGTTATGAAGTCCTTTCTGAATTCGAAAAGTGAAGGCTGAAAGCGAGTGAACATCCGAAGGAATGCGAAGGCAGAGTACTGCGGAAACTAGAAATCCTGTTCTAAATAAACTTCTAGATCAGAGAATCGAAGAGTCTTGAGTGGAGTGGGCATGAGTTATTAACCGATGTTTTTGACGTCGGTTAAGACCGTTTTGGTAAGGCCTGTTTCTTTTTTCAAATATCGCTGTGGTGTTTGAATCAGGGCGTGCCTTTGAAGGCATGATATATAATGGCTTGCGAACAGAGTTTAAACGCATGCCACTGCTTATCTCGGGCGGATGGAAGGCTTCGTTAACTAACCGAGTGTCGATTAACTAACCGAGTGTGACTCTGGGTTCAATCTCCATGGCAGGCATTTGGTAATGCTTATCTTGGCACCTGTCCACCTCGTGTTGAGCCGTAGTCTACGTTCACAGAGTACAAATGAACCCACGAAAATCAGCTGGCAGAGTGTCGCGATGATCTAAATGTGCTCCCAAGAGAGAAACACGATGTGTTCTAGAGAAACAGTTGAACGAAAATAAATCAGTTGCTGAGGGGAAGTTTCGAGAGGGAGCATGGTGGTCGGACCGGTAAATTTTCCAAAAATTTTGTTTTGTTTACACGATGTTTTCAAAAAAACAGCAGAAGCTCCATGCTTGGAGTGAAATGAAACTTAGTTTCCGACTTTCGGAAAGAGGTACCAATTGTTGCAGATAGCGATTAATTCGGTTCATGCTTCTCTTCGATAAGTTGAGATCGGTACGTTCCAACTTGAATTTAAAAAGTTGCAGCCTAATGACCGGGTAGATGTTCTTGAAGACCCGAACACTTAAACGTAAACCGTGCACTCTAAAATAAGATTGGAGGTCAATAGATTGGCCTAGGAAGCAGTCTACTTATTAGTCATTACATTCGTCAGACATAAGTGATGTAACGATCGCTTATTTTAATGATTTGTAGGTAAAATGAAGGGACCAAGCGAGTTTGAACACCAGAGTTATTTCCTTATAAACATGCTTATATCTTTTTATTTTTTGATAGCTTTGCTATTGATTAAACGCTCTATTGATATATCCACCGAATAGATTAGGGCAAGAATATTTAAGGAAANGTCGAACGATTGCCTGATTACATATTTCAATCCATATCCCATATGCATCCCAGAGCGACAATTTCTTGATTGTCACTTTCGGTAGATCGTAGTAGAACTCTGCCGCAATTATACCGAGCAGTTTTTTCTCTGAATGGAAATGCCAAGAAAAATCAAGCATTGCTGAATGGTCAAGTATGATTTTATGTATGGTGTTGGCTATTTGCCATGGATCCCCTATGTATAAAACGAAATTGAATTCATGACATTCTTGATCGAGCCTGATAAGTAGTCACTTCTTGTGCTCGACACAGAATTTCATGCGTTGGAATTTGAACACGTGTTGTGTTTGATGGTTTGAGAACGAAGTTTGCCTCCTGAATTTTCAGTATGTTCATCTCTCGTTAACTGTAAACTCGGAGACAGAGACTTCTGCTTATATTGAAAGCAGGTACAAGAGTTCGAGTATGTAGTATGCTCTCTGAGAAGAGGTCGTATTAAATCATATTTTGTCACCGACCAAATGAGGTGCTTCTGACTCATAGCTGAGTATGATGATGACTGCTGAAAATCTAAGTATTTTTTGTGAAATAGGATAGGAAAGAAAAGAAAATCGATACTGTTCACAATTCCTCCGCGAGTTGTCACAGTTATCGATCATTACGTTGATTTAGGATCTGGCTCTTCGTGCCATTATTTCCTTCAAATCTCGTGTGCATAAGCACCGGGTATTTGCGCAGAAGAGCTTGGCTGCTGAATCGTCCATCAAGTTGGACGTGATAGACAGCATTCCGCGTGAATTTGTTGAAGTGGAAGATGATCTGGAAATGGCTGATGAAGTTGACGGGGATGAAGAACTTGCTGAGGAGCACGACGAGAGTAACGAGCAAGACGAACCCAAACCGAAGGTCACAAAGACCGACGGTGAAGCGGTTTCATCTAGCGCTGAAGAGCCAGCAGCTGAAGGTGACAAGGAACAGAATGGAGGTAGTCATAAGTAGTTTTTAATCGTTTTGTTACGATTTGAAGAAAAAGGCAAGCATGTGTAATTGCTATCCAAACCTTGTGACTCAAATACGAATTTTCGGGGGCTCAGGGGTTGTAAAGTTGGGCTCAAAACATCGCCTAACACGGTGCGGTGAATTGTTAGCCCGACACTATTCCTTTTGAACAAAATTATTAACTTAAGTACCGTTATATATTCTGCGCTTCGTGTATACTTCCATTCATATCCATCTTATTATTGTTCGTGAACAGTAGATTTAGTTGAAAACGGTGAGGAAACCGCGAAACCGAAGAAAAAGGAATACGTCGACGAGGACCTCGAGGCTCCCTTTGAAATAAGTTGGGAAGGTGCTCCAGAATTCCAGTGGAAGTGTAAGTTTTTTTTTTTTTTTTTTTTTTTTTTTTTTTTTTTTTTGAATAGGTTTGAAATCAGGAGCCCAGTAGAACTTATCCATTTTGTTCTCCGAGATTGTAGCCTTGTGAATTTTCTCTCCGTAGAAAGGCTGCCCTTCCCTTACAGTTATAAAAAATAAAGAATAAAACTCGATGTTCCGTTTTTAATAATAATTCGGCAAGGAAGTTCTGTGGCAAAAAGAAACAGTGTAATCAATTGTAAGCAATACGTTCACAGTCAGGGGGATCCGCAGCCCTTTCTTATTCTTTCCACATCCAAAGTCAGTAAGCTGTGATTCAAAAAACTTATTGGCTCCGTGCTTGCTTGGGAAGGCAAAGCCTATGATAATCAAAAGGGGCAAAGTTCCGGGGCTGATGAAATGACCTGGAACCAAGTGAGGTCAGTTAACCCTTTGACGACAACGGCGATTTCGACGTGACGCGCCCACGGGACCACGCCCCTTTCCCTTCGTGCGCGACTGGCACCCACCGGTGGGTGCCATGGTCCCAGGAGGAACTCTTTTCTCTGGCTCAATAGGTTTAGCAATATTTCGCATGAAATGGAAGTATCAAAATATTATTTCATCCATTATAAGTACGTGTGGTCTGAAAATGGAGTTTGGAAGCAATGTGGGACAAATTCTGAAAATAATGTTTACAATAGAAATGCGTATAACATTAAGACTCTTTAGTATCAAATTAGGCTTTGCTAGCGCATGCTAAGAAAGTGAAAACACAGTGCAACAGTTGTTACGGCTTTTACTGTCTGCGATGTTTTCAGGATGAACACAGATCTTGCGGAAGTACCTAGGTTTTTTCTCCAGTGATACCCCGTTGTGTATATAGGCTTGTAATGATTAAACTTTAACAAAACAATAATGTGGACCATGTTGAAT